CAGCACTACGACACATTCGGAGTAAAGCAGATACCTTATAGATTTGATTTCATTATGTCAGAACAGTAGCAGCACGTTTTGACTTGGCCATATATAATACCAAACATAGCGTGTATTCAAACTTCAAACAGTGACGATTCATTTCTCAAAAGCAATACGTTTGTTCATACTTTACGTGCGCGCATTGAAATATCGGTCGCGTGGTGATTCTCAAAATGCGCGCTGATATTCCACTGTGAATGCTTAATTTAATATCTTATGTTCGGTATTAGGTATGGCCATGTCGTGCTGCTATTCCACCATAATGTATGATCAAACATATAGGTGTTCTTCTTCTGTAGTGCGTGTGTGGTATGTAGTGCTACCTTTATTTTCGTGTTTTCGTGAAATCACCCCTTTGATAGCAGTGATTTTCAATAATTGGTAATTTTGAAAATATTATACGAGACGGCATAAAAACATTTTGTGATACTACGTTTAATGCAACTCATAACAAATGTGATAAATGTGCAATTACACAATATTTTAAAAAAAAGTTGCTGAGTCATTCCATTTACGACATACTCTCTAATGGGTATAGGTAATGAGGAATATGCTACGTTTGCTCAAAGGTTAAAAAATAAATTGTCTATTTGGTATTATACATATATACGGTCATAACAAAAGTTGCTGTTCTTGTTCTTTCGTAACTTGAATCTAAAGTGTTATTCTTTTTTTCGAATGTGTTTGGTATTGATGCCTTTATTGGCTGTTTAAAGGAGTCCAATTACCACTATAATTTTTCTTATCCACGAGAGGGCATGAAATAGATATTCACACGACTCTTGATCTTGAAATTATCTCTCTACTTAGCTATTGCAACATTTTGGAGGCCCTTTTTCGAATTGTTTTGGAGATATGCCGCTTATAAATTAATTTACGAGCTCTAAGTCATTATTTTCATTAAAATATAAAACCACGAATCGGTTACAAGTAATGATGGATCATTTTAGCCTATCCATAGTCAATCACTGTCTTTCCAGAACGCACTTTTTTTATTGCAATCAAACTTAAGCTCATCGGAAGACATGATAACAATTAAAACACTTCATCCAAATCTATTTTTTTGAAACACGGCGGGAAACTTACAAATAACTTGCGAAATTGCGAAAGAAGGCAATGTTCACAACCATGCTTGAATGTCTATCTAAGAGGACAAGGTGTATCAGCGAATGTAAAAATAAATGTAAAAAAGAAGGGAATATTACGATATGTTTGGTATTACGTATGGCGGAGTCAATCGTGCAGCTACTGTTCTAGTACAGTGAAATGGAATTCAAAATGTATTTGTTTTTTTCCGAATGTGTCGTAGTGCTGCCTTTATTGGCGGTTTTCGAGAAATCGCCCTTTCAAAAACGATATTTTTTTAAATTATGAAAAGAATCCACAAGGATGAGTAAAATAATTTTTTGTTGTTTTATACTTTCCGCAAATTATTCCAAGTTCAATTAAAGTACAGTATTGATTTAGGACCAGGAGAAAAATATATTCGATTGTTTATCGAGTAAATTTAGTTGAAATACCAAACCGTTTTTAATTATGTTACGTCTGCATTGTTTATAAAATTGAAAAATATACACTAAGTTTGGTATTATATATGGCCAAATCAAAACGAGCTGCTACTGTTCTGACATAATATAATTAAGTCTATAAGGTATATGCTTTTCTCAGAATGTGTCGTAATGCTGCCTTTATTGGCGGTTTTCAAGAATTCGTCACTCGAAAAACGGTATGTTTAGAAAATTGAAAAAAAATATAATAGGGCGTAAGACATTTTATGTGGTTTTATACAATTCACAACTTATTCCATGTTTAATTAACGTACAGTATTGATGTATGACCAAGAGAAAAAAGTGTTTGATGAATTACCAGTGAATTTAGTTGAAATACCTAACCGTTTTTAAATATGTTACATCTACATAGTTGATAAAATTAGAAAATTATACGCTATGTTTGGTATTATATATGGCCAACTCAAAACGTGCTGCTACTGTTCTGACTTATTAAAATCGAATCTATAAGGTATCTGCTTCTCTCCAAATGTGTCGTAGTGCTGCCTTTATTGGCGGTTTTCGAGAAATCGCTATTTCAATTACGATAATTTTTCGAAATTTTGAAAATAATCCACAAGAGGACGTAAAATGCTTTTTGGTATTTTTACTTTCCGCAACTTATTCCAAGTTTAATGAACGTATAGTATATATGTATGTCCAAGAGAAAAAGACGTTTGATAAATTATCTAGGAAATTTATTTGAAATACCAAACCGTTTTTAAATATGTTACGTCTGCATTGTTTATAAAAGTTTGAATACACGCTATGTTTGGTATTATATATGGCCAAGTCAAAACGTGCTGCTACAGTTCTGACATAATGAAATCAAATCTATAAGGTATCTGCTTTACTCCGAATGTGTCGTAGTGCTGCCTTTATTGGCGGTTTTTGAGAAATCGCCCTTTCAAAAACGATATTTATTTAAAAACTTCGAAAAAAATCCACAAGAGGGCGTCAAATCATTTTTTGTTATTTTAGGATTCGCCGTCTTATTCCAAGTTTAATGAACATACAGTTTTGATGTATGACCAAGAGAGAAAAGTGTTTGATGAATTATCCAGTAAATTAAGTTGAAATACCTAACCGTTTTTAAATATGTTACATCTACATAGTTGATAAAATTGAAAACTATACGCTAGCTTTGGTATTATATATGGCCAAGTCAAAACGTGCTGCTACTGTTCTGACATAATAAAATCGAATCTATAAGGTATCTGCTTTTCTCCGAATGTGTCGTAGTGCTGCCTTTATTGGCGGTTTTTGAGAAATCACTATTTCAAAAACGATAATATTTCGAAAATTTGAAAATAATCAACAAGAAGGCGAAACATGATTTTCCGTTATTTCATACTTTCCGCAACTCATTCCAAGTTCAATGGACGTACAGTATATATGTATGTCCAAGAGAAAAAGATGTTTGATAAATTATCTAGGAAATTTAGTTGAAATACCAAACCGTTTTTAAATATGTTACGTCTGTATTGTTTATAAAAGTTTGAATACACGCTATGTTTGGTATTATATATGGCCAAGTCAAAACGTGCTGCTACTGTTCTGACATAATGAAATCAAATCTATAAGGTATCTGCTTTACTCCGAATGTGTCGTAGTGATGCCTTTATTGGCAGTTTTTGAGAAATCGCCCTTTCAAAAACGATAATTTTTCGAAATTCCGAAAATAATCCACAAGAGGGCGTCAAATCATTTTTTGGCATTTTAGGATTTGCACAATAATGCCAAGTTTAATGAACATACAGTTTTGATGTAAGACCAAGAGAGAAAAGTGTTTGATGAATTATCCAGTAAATTAAGTTGAAATACCTAACCGTTTTTAAATATGTTACATCTATACATAGTTGATAAAATTAAAAATTATACGCTATGTTTGGTATTATATATGGCCAACTCAAAACGCGCTGCTACTGTTCTGACTCATCAAAATCGAATCTATAAGGTATCTGCTTCTCTCGAAATGTGTCGTAGTGCTGCCTTTATTGGCGGTTTTCGAGAAATCGCTATTTCAATTACGATAATTTTTTGAAATTTTGAAAATAATCCACAAGAGGACGTAAAATGCTTTTTGGTATTTTATACTTTCCGCAACTTATTCCAAGTTTAATGAACGTACAGTATATATGTGTGTCCAAGAAAAGAAGATGTTTGATAATTTATCTAGTAAATTTAGTTGAAATACCAAACGGTTTTTGAATATGTTACGTCTGCATTGTTTATAACTTTTTGAATACACGCTATGTTTGGTATTATATATGGCCAAGCCAAAACGTGCTGCTACTGTTCTGACATATTGGAATCAAATCTATAAGGTATCTGCTTTTCTCCGAATGTGTCGTAGTGCTGCCTTTATTGGAGGTTTTTGAGAAATCGCCCTTTCAAAATCGATAATTTTTCGAAATTTTGAAAAGAATCCACTAGAGGGCGTCAAATCATTTTTTGGCATTTTAAGATTTGCACATTAATTCCAAGTTTAATGAACGTACAGTTTTGTTGTACACCCAAGAGAGGAAAGTATTTGATGAATTTTCCAGTAAATTTAGTTGAAATACCAAACCGTTTTTAAATATGTCACATCTACATAGTTAATAAAATTGAAAATTATATGCTATGTTTGGTATCATGTATTGCCAAGTTAAAACGTGCTGCTACTGTTCTGACATATTAAAATCGAATCTATAGGGTATCTGTTTTTTTTCGAATGTTTCGTAGTGCTGCCTTTATTGGCGGTTTTTGAGAAATCGCCCTTTCAAAAACGATAATTTTGTGAAATTTATCAAAGAATCCACAAGAGGGCGTAAATTTTTGTCGGTATTTCAGACTTTCCTCAACTTATTCTAAGTTTAATGAAGTGCATTATTGTTGTGTGACAAAGAGAAAAATATCTTCTTTGATGAACTATCCAGTAAATTTAGTTGAAATACAAAATCAGTTTCAAATTTGTTGTATATACATTGTTCTAAAATTTGAAGAATATACGCTATGTTTAGTATTATATATGGTCAAGTCAAAACGTGCTGAGACTGTTCTGACATATTGAAATCGAATCTTTGAGGTTTCTACTTTTCACCAATGGTGTTGCAATGCTGCCTTTATTGGAGGTTTTCATGAAACGACCATGTTACACGACGAAAATTCAGTCATTTCTAAACAACTCTCAAAGAATAAAAAAAAATTTTATGCACTGTAACAGTCGCTTTAGCTTGTTTACTATATATTAACAATACGAGGAGTGTAGTTAATGATTGTTTTGCTTTAATTGCTATTGTGAAACTAATCAAAATATACACTTTCTTTTAAAAATCATTAGGAACATTTAATTTTACGCGTGGGTATTTTCTGCGATTCTGTCAGTCACAATTTCGTGTTTTGCTGCTAGCTTCACAGAGGTATCAAGAAGTGTAAAAACAAGTCAGTTCAGTTTGCAATTTATTTCGAATTAACTAATATATTGTCAGCCATGGGGAAAAAGGATTCAATGACAAGAGGACCAATTGTTGAAAATTACCGAAAGCGTATAGGTGAGCTTTATAGTATGGTATGGTTTATTTTGCTGATTATGGAGTCGAAATAAATTTATCTTACCTACCGTACTGTAGTCTGGTAGTATAGATTGATACCGGTGTTGGATCGAATATTCAGATTTACTTCCGGCACCAGAGCTCGTAAAACAGTGAAAGATCATATGACACAGTACCTATCACGCAGCAGCTGGAATAAAAAATCGACCGTAGTGAAAATTTCACATAGTTTATTCCCCTGACCTCTTTTCTTCATTTTTGGAGTTGGTATGGTACCGTACCATAAAAGCACCTAAGGAAAAAAATACCATATTTTTATCAATAACTCGACCATTTATTGTCCAAATGGGCCAAAACTGCTCGGTAAAACATTGTTGCGGTAATTTACATTTCCTGCAAATTTTGGGTTAATTGGACTGTTTACTATTGAAATAATCTTTTTTTGTGACATCTGACTGTTTTCCTTCACTGCCCTAACTTTGGACAGTCATTTTCCTCACTGCGTAACTGCGGTACATTTTATTCTGATTATGGCATTCAAAAGTCAGAAAGTGCAATGCTTTTAAAACGAAACATCTTTATACAAAATTATATCTTCCTATGGGTGCACTTATAAACATATGGTGTTGACCAATTAAGCATTTCAAACACTAATTTAGCAGGGCCACAGCTTTATATGTGAATAGCAGTCATAAATATTTGGTGGGTGTTGACCATGCTTTATTTATATATAGGTAAGCAAGATTATAAGAAGTCAAAAAGTGCGATAAAAGAAATGAAGACGATAGCTGAAGCTAAAAAGTCATCAACTGCACTTTCGGTGAGCTAAATGTTCTAACCTATTTGGTCCAGGCCTAATCTGGTCCCACTGCTCTTAGACGATTTGCTAGTTTAAGTGAATCAGTCTTTTTTTGTAAATTGCACGCCACATTCGAAGTAAAATTGCACAACAAAAAAATCTTTTCTAAAATGAGTTACGCAACACAACTTCGTTATGCTCCCCTTTCTGGTATATCTGCATTTCGTTTAGTTTGTGTTGTCTTGATTTTTGTCAGAAAACCAAAATCTCCAGAGATGATTTTTTTAGATTTGTGCCATATTTAGTTTTTTTGTGCGTATTATATGTATTGTCACGATGGAATATGTTTACTAAATGTTATTATCCACCTAATAAACTTGTTTTGCACTGTTTAAAAGCAATTCCCGTCAGTTACAAAATTACAAAACTACTATATCAAGTTCTTTTGTTTCAATAGATTTCGAAATAAATAATAAACACTGACATATGTTATATCTTGCAGGACATCGTTCTTGTTGCGGTAGCTTTTTCTGTGATACTCGCATTGCTGTATGTCATGTTCTATGCATCCCTGGCGAAATGATCAAACTAAAGCAAATAATAAGATTCATAGCTGCATATCAAAGAGGCAGAAGTAGTAGTGATGAACAACGAGTCTAATTAAATGAGCAAAACATATTCTCAGTTTTTATCTCATCGTAACAAATTGACATTATTTCATATTATATTCTGTATTTCTAATGTAGCATTTTACCATATCCTGGTGCAATTGCCTTTTTGTTATTCAAGTGGATTTAGTATTTCAAATATATATTTTTATAATCTTACCGGTAGCAATTTTGTATTTGTATACCACCAAAGGCTAGCTGGCAGAACACTCAAATGATTGAAAGTAAAGTAACAAAACAGTTTCGGGTACAAATATGCGCATAATTTTCACAAATCATTCTGTGATGAAATTATAAAATAGATGGATGAATTTTATGGGAAATTCAATTTAGGCATCGAATCCTGAAGTCTAGTTGTGGATGATGGAACAGAGCGCAGAAAAGACAGGACAGGACCACTGCACCCGCTCTTGGTCGTTCATGGAAATTCGATACTGATGTTGGAAGCATTGGAACGAATACAATGATTTTAAATTGAACTAATCAAAAAAACAGATACCCCAATCCATGATCGTGCATAGACTGTTATGAAATGTTCAATCTATTTGCTGAAAGAAACAATTTTTGTCACTGTTATTTTTGCAATGAAATTGAACTACAGCATCACCATTTTACGTCAACAAGTTTTTTTTTTTATTCTATATTTTTTATGGAAAAGCACTGTTGTGATACACATACCATAGACATGCATTCCATCCGATCATAATTGTGTTTTTTTTCCAGTTACACTTTTACAGCATAGCGTTTGACTGGATGTTATCATTTTGAAACAGCTACACAAGAATGCAACCAGCAAGCCCTCAAGCATTACCGGTACATATTTGCAAATAAGAAGTTGAATGCCTATTACCTTCGGGAGTGCAGACGGTTCTAATTGTACAAGTCTGCTGTAACGATTCTGTATGTTGTTGCAAGTCTATGCCACTTTTTCACATACATAGTTCATTTTCTTGTGATTCACAATTGGTATGTGATAAAATTTCACTGAACAATCTATTTTTTCTGTAATGACCACATAAAAACCGCAGCCACAATTTTATTGTTCTTTTTTTAATTGATCAGTGTCTCACATTTTAAAATTGATTTAAAAGGTATTGCCCGATTTTACTTGACTGTTCATGGGGATGGGCAGTTGGGCACATACTCGTACGTTTTTACCGTTTTTATTAGGATATGCCCGTCCTCCAGGTCCTCTGCATTTTGTTTGTCTGTTTGTTGTTTCTTTCAGAGTGACCAAAATATAATTGATTGATTGATGAAGATATTTTAAATTAATTTACTCATTACTTTGAAAGAAAAAGGGAGCAATGGGTAGAGCTTGAATACTAGTCCCGTTTTACATTAAAATATGTCTCATACATTATTGCCTGGATAGATTTTACACACGAATAATGCTTTATGAACTTCCGAAAGCAAACTGATTAAAAACCCTCTGATAAATTATAGTGAACGAAATGCATAATTATTCTAGGAATAAAACAAATTTCTTTCTAAAATGCAACATTGAACGAAAATGAACTTTTGAGATTAACTATCATTTTGCGGAATAATGAATGACCTTTACGTCATTGAACATGATTTACTTTTCTCTAGCACCAAATATTTGACTACCAACACGAACATTAGTACTACCAGCTAGAACGGCTTCTTTAAAGTCTGCAGACATACCCATGCTCAATTCCATATTGTCTAATGGAATTTTTAATCTTTCGCATACCTTTTCTCTGCAATTTCTAAGGCATTCAAAGTCTGGGTTAGGCCCACTTGAATAATCATGTCCAAAGCTTCCAATAGTCATTACTCCGCGGAGTTTTAGTTTAGGACAATTTTCAACAATATGAAATGCTAGATTCGCACATTCTGAAGGTAAAATCCCACTTTTGCTATCTTCACCACTGGTATTAACTTGAATCATAACTTGATAGGACGTGCCTTCTTTTGTCTTTTTTTCAAAGCTGTCTGCCACTTCAAATGATGATATTGTTTCAACCATATATAAACGGGGGCAACCAATGAGCTGTGCTATTTTGTTTTTCTGCAACATCCCTATGTAGTGCCACTTTATGTCTGGACAAAGATGATTCAGATCAGCATCTTTTGCCTTCACAAGAAGTTCTTTCACATAATTTTCTCCAAAATGCCTCTGACCAGCATCATACGCTTTTTTGATCATTAAAACAGATTTTGTTTTGCTCACAGCCACAAGTGTTGGTTCAGCCCCATTGTTTGCTCTCCGTGCAGTTGTCTCTTTGATGGCAGCTTGAATTGCTCTTAGATTACCAGCTATGTCAATTACTCCTTCTGACATTATTTTCATCATACTGCTTTACAAAAACAGAAATTTGAAAAATTTAATCCAGGGAATGAAATATGATCATAGTAAAAAAAAATGTCCTCCTTCTGGCATTATTTTCATCATACTGCTTTACAAAGACAGAAATTTGAAAAATTCAATCCAGGGAATGAAATATGATCATAGTAAAAAAAAATGTCAAGTACACAAATAGGGCCAAATTTTTATTCAAAACTTGATCATAAAATGATATATACCGCATTTCTCTGTGTATAATACGCACTTTCATGGTCAGATTTAGTCTCCTAAATAAGGGGGTGCGTATTATCCATTGGTCTAGGAAATATTGAAAAATACTACCTAATTCTCATTTTATGCGATAATTGTCACATTTATTAATCTTAAGTTCTTAATATCATGTGGCAAAGTCTGGTAGAATCAGATCATGCTTGATTATATAGAAGCATACCCAGTTCAAACAACAATTTAGTTTTGATAAAGGCGTCTGAAAACACAATCTGACGTGAGGATTTGTAAGCCCAAGGAGGAGAGACAAATAACTTTAGAAGTTACTTTAATGTCACATCACATCATGATCGGCAGACGTTTTACAGTCAAATACACAGTTAACAAAAGGCAGGCAAACAGAATGCCTGAAACGCTTCCAGAAAAAAAAAGGTAACCGTACATTGAACCCATGTGTATATCTGCAGGTGCTGAAACCCATGGCCAAGGGGTAGGGTTAGTATTGATTCAAATATCCGTAAAACAAAAAAATACGGTATATATGGCAGTCGTTTGAATTGGTCTGGTCCCATTCCTACAAACTGACAAATGCATTGCCCAAACAGAGTAGCCTACTGGAGTATTTAATGTCTATAAACGAATGGATGAAATATACAATTTTTTTCGATACATAGTATATTAATCTAAAACAACATAAGTACTTACACAAGTTATTATTTTAGACACAGTACATTAATCTAAAACTGCATACCGGTATAGGAGAGGATTTACATATTTATCGCGTTATCGTCCACTTATCCCGCGTAGCTCTGCGAAATTACACTAAAAAGCGGCTACACACAAAAAAGTTTCGACCGAAAACCCAACCGAAGAAAAAAAAATGGACCATTTATCCATGTCGCCAACTACCCATTGTTCCTTTGAAAAAGCTCAAAAATCCACACCAATATAAGAGATAAAAAGATGAAACTTGGCAGGTGGGTAGAGTTGTGTTTCTTTAACCCATCTTTGAAGTTTCGCGTTTCTACATTTAAAGGAGGGTGCACATTTCCAATATGTCGATAATATCTTTTGATATTATCGACCAATTTGCGACCACCGTGTTGGTCCGTTTGATTGCTGTGATGCGGTGCTTTGTTTATAATTTGACGAATTTTGTTTGAAATAACCGTGTTCTTAAAATATATGACGGTCAGAAATGCGATGAGAAACCAATTTTTTTCACGCATGGCTGCGTATGCCCTAGTCTCGACGCAGCAGGAACGTTGTTCAATGCTTGAAATCCGTGGTCGCACACTGGCCGTTCGGGCGCAAAATACGTCTTCAGAGTGTCATACTTTGGTGGTCTATATAGCTTTAACCCCTGGTCGTAGAAAGTTAATTCGAGGTTGAGCGTGTAGAATAAATGCCAATGCACCTACCGTGAAAAAATTAACGGGTTAGATATATTGGTTTTTGTTTTATAGCGGTTTGAATAAAATCGTCCGCAGACTGGCTACACCACCCTACATCCATTTTTAGAGCTTCGTGCAAAGTTTCAACGTCTTAATTATATGCGGTAACAACATAATAATTGCGTGCAGAATCACGAGAGAATATCCGTCGTCTACAGTAAGAGCTGCTGCACATGTTGAATTTTTGTAAAGTTTGTAATGCCTCTTTCTTTGCATATTTATGCATTTGTGGTGTTTCCAGAATGACTGTAACAAAACAGCAAAAAAATGAAAACAAGTATCGCAGTTGTACAGACATGCTCAATACTGCATTGCATTAATAAAGAAAAATAAATAATAATTGAATTTCTCTGCAGACACACAAGACTAAAAGTAAATAAATTCGGTCAGCTATGGTAAAATTGCAAAAGTTCAGCCAAAGTAGACTATTCTTATTTTCACTGATAACTCTATTCTATTACGGTATTAGGTGCGGTACCGGTATGTTTTTAATAGTCTACCGTACCGGTAGGTACGGTCCCGTCCACATAAAAAACTTTCAATTCCAACTAACGGTGGTACAGCACAGGGGGTCCCTATATAAAAAACTTTCAATTCCAACTTCAGCTAAGGCGGTACGGTACATCCGAGTCACTACTGTAACCGTCACCGTGCTATGCGAAATTGAAATTTATAGGGACGTGTAAAAAGAGAAATAAGCGAATATGGATACTAAAAATATGCCAAATTGAAATTTATAGGGACGTGTAAAAAGAGAAATAAGCGAATATGGATACTAAAAATATGCCAAATCGAAATGCATAGGGACGTGTAAAAAGAGAAATAAGCGAATACGGCATACTAAAAATATGCAAAATCGAAATTCATAGGGACGGGTAAAAAAAGAAATAAGCAAAGATGGCATACTAAAAAGATGCGAAATTGAAATTTATAGGTACGTGTAAAAAGAGAAATAAGCGAATATGGCATACTAAGCTAAGTAAACCCAGGCTCTGCTGAAATTTCGGAATTCAAGTGCCAAATTTGACATGGGAGGATGTAAGCTAGATTAAATGTATGCCTTACAAATAGGTAGGAATTAGCAGAATAAAAATTAAAATTAAGGGCAAATGCTTTCAATTTAGGAAGGTATTTTTATGTGGGTGGGCCTATCAAGGATTCGCTTAAAATCGCAGGACTGCTGCCTAGAAGTTCTTCACTTCTAGTGGTGATTAAATTTTTTTCTTGTATTGATTTTATAACACTGTTGTTTTGAAGTATTATTTACAGTCGCTCTGACTTTTGCTTGGGGACTTTCAGCTTTTTCCCGACAGTCTCCAGTTGTTCTGTTTTTATTTCCAATCTTTCAAAAAACCTGTGAAGATTTGTACCGCAGCTGTAAGAATGGTCATGGATGATAGGGGAAATATAAGTCTCAACTTCATTTGGAATATCAGCTTCAACGGTGAAGTACGACAAGCTTGGGGCTTGCGTGAAGTCAGGAAGTGGTGAACTGAAATGTAAAACGATACAGAAGTTTAAGATTTTTTCAAACATAATGCAAAAGGTATTAGGTAGTAAAAAATAATGCCGTAATATATAGCAATATTATGGGCTACTGATAAAACTTCAAAGTGCAAGATGACTAAACCAGTGTTTCTCAACCTCTATCCGCTGGGGGCCTATGCTGCTCTGAAGCAATGACATTGAACAACATGATGCGCAACTCCGGCATTTTTGGCCGAAGATCGTATTCGATAACACGCTCCAATGCACATATTTGACGAGACGAGAACGAGCGGATGTGTGCTGCTTTCAAGGCATAGCACGAATAGTGTTCGTGCCTGCTTTGACAGTTGTTGTCGATTTTAATGATATTTTGGAAAGTTGAGTTAAAAAGAAATCGGAAAAAGGTAAGATAAATACTATTGTTGTATATCACACCCGGGCATCGAACTGTTAAGTGCATGTGGGAAAGCCAGCTTTTTCAAATACTACAAAGTTATTAATTCAGTACGGTACGTAGTTGCCCATTTGCCGAAATTGCATATTTACTTACCCCTTATGGTTTCAAACAGTTCATGCACCTACAATTAGATTTTTCTAACCAATGAAAATATATACGCATTGCTGTAACATACTAAGTGGACTATCTACATTTTCATTTATTGTATAATTCCTTTTTGTCCCATTTTGGCTTTTTTAGCAATTTTCCACTTAATGAATCCCATTCTAGTTATAAAATACCGGTCAACTATTATACATTTCATAGTTTATAACTTATATTCCCTGAAGACTTCCACCTTTACTCAATCCAATATTTTCTATGCATGATATAGCTAGTTCCCCCAATATAAATTGGAAATCAGACTTTTTCAACCCTTTCATAGACTCAACACTGACTCAATACCTCGAATTAACAGATATCAATGAGGTATCATCAAGGATCCCACCATCTGACCTTATTCTAGTGCATCATAACATCAGATCACTTCCCAAATATGTTGATGATTTAATTGATTTGTATTCAAAGTTCTATTCTCCTCCCCATATAATTGCTTTGACCGAGACCAGGATCAAAAGTGAGGTAGAGTTTTATAATGTCGACATCCCGGGTTATGCCTTTATCCATGTACCCTCTCCAACTCAGGCGGGCGGTGTGGGATTTTACTTAAAAAACAATTTGGATTACCAGATTATCTGCGATTTTAAATTATCCATTTCTTCCTGTGAGGATATGTGGGTAGAAATCAAGTGTTCTAATTTCAACTTAAACTTCCAAAGCCTCATCATTGGTGTTATTTATAACCATCCAAAAAATAACGTACTTGCTTTTACTGGTGCAATGGATCGCGTACTCGAGAAACTGACAATGGCAAAAAAAACTTTTTCATATTAGGTGATTTCAATATTAACCTCCTTGACACCCATGATAATGCCACTGCCAAATATTTTGATATGCTCATGTCATATCATACATTCCCAGTAATTACGAAACCCACTAGAGTGACCTCCTCCTCCCACACCCTTATAGACCATATATACACAAATACCGTGAACTATTGTTCGTCATCATTTATTCTACTTAGTGACCTTACTGACCACTTTCCGGTCATGTGTACAATTTCAGGTATTGATTTAATCACAAAAACAAAGATTCGTATGAAGCGCGATATGACAAAATTCTGTAACGAATTATTCAGAGCCGAAGTTGAGTCAATGTGTAACAACTATACAACCGTTTATCTTTGTAAAGAAAATTTTAATAGCTGTTTTGAAACTTTTCTTGGCCATCTGAAATGCTTAATCAACAAACATGCCCCATTACGACCCTTATCACGCAAAGAAAACAAACTTTCTTATAAACCTTGGATCACCAGGGGAATTCGTAAGTACATTAAACACAAAAATATTATGCTTAAAAAAAAGTTTCTAAAGGGCAATGCAGTCCAACGTAGCTACTTCAAAAAGTATAAAAATATGTTAACACATTTGCTGAGGAGATCTAAGCAGATGTACTACCATAGTGTCCTCGAAAGCAATCGAGGTGATATTAAACGCACATGGCAAACCATTAACGACATTATTAAGATCAGGTCCATAGATAATACATCCATCTCAGAATTGGAACTCGAAAACGGTACTTCAGTGACCGACCCAGTTACGATTGCCAGTGTTTTTAATAAATACTTCTCGACAATCGGAAAGAATCTTGCAGATAAAATCCTACATATCTCAAAATCATTCGCCGACTTCTTGGGTGCTCCAATGCAAAACTCCTTTTTTCTCGAACCCACGTCTTCCACGGAGATTATCCAAATAATTTTAAATCTGAAAAAGAGTAAAGCAGTTAGGCCCGATGGTGTTCCATCCCACTTTCTAGGAACAGTTGCCGATATAATATCACCTACACTAATCCACTTTTTTAATTCAGCCTTTACATTAGGCATTTTCCCTTCTTCTTTATAGATTGCTAGAGTGGTTCCCATATTTAAAAGTGGTAAAAAAAATGATCCATCAAATTACAGGCCCATTTCCATTCTACCCTCTATAGGTATAATTTTAGAAAAATTATTATATAAGAGAATCCTTAATTTTGTACAAATTTCAACCTAATTAACAAATGTCAATTTGGCTTTCAAACTAATACTTCCACCAGTCACGCTATTCTTGATTTAACCTCTTTCATTTTCGATAAACTGGACAAAGGAGAATTTGTCTGTTGTATCTTTCTCGATTTGAAGAAAGCTTTTGATACCGTCAATCATAGAATTCTATCCCATAAGCTTAGACATTATGGTTTCCGAGGTGCTGCAGGCAATCTATTATTTAATTACCTGTCCGGTCGTTCACAATTTGTGGAGGTGGATTCTCACAGGTCTCCAGTGTTCCCCATCTATTGCGGAATTCC